GGAGTTCCAAACCATGACTTAACCCTTAAGGTTGGTACTCCAATAATGCTTTTAAGGAATATTGATCCATCGATGGGGCTTTGCAATGGAACAAGGTTAATTGTTACACGACTTGGAAATCACATCATAGGGGCAAAAATCATGGGCGGCAAATATGCGGGACATGAAGTTGTCATTCCGAGGTTGAGCTTAACTCCTTCAGATTCAAGAATACCGTTCAAGTTTCAGCGAAGACAATTTCCCGTCATGACCTCTTATGCGATGACTATAAATAAGAGTCAAGGACAATCTTTGACTCATGTTGGACTCTTATTGAAAAAGTCGGTGTTTACACATGGTCAACTTTATGTTGCAGTGTCAAGAGTAACAAATCCTAAGGATTTGAAGATATTAATATGCGATGAAGATGGTCAACCAACGTACCATACCACAAATGTTGTTTATAAAGAAGTTTTTCGCAATGTGTAGATTGTGAAACACTATCTAACATTTCCTTTTATCTACTTATTCCAACACATACTTACTATCTATCTCTGAGTTTTCAATATTCAATTAAAAGTTCTAATGCATGTTTCAAGTAACACAATTTCCAAACATTTCACACGCGTACATTGTTTACAAATAATATCATATCACTATTTCATTCTTATATCCCGCGCATCGCGCGGGTGAGAATCTAGTTACTCTTCAAGGCAAACTCGAAATTAAAATCTCCAGATTTGGATTTCTAGTTTTTGCCTTAGAATTTTGTTTAAATTCACCTGCTCTCGAAATTCAACATCGAGAACCTCAACCTCGAAGATTTTCCTCAAAAACTCAATATTTGAGATTTTATGCGACACCGCACTGTTTTGGCCATAACTTTTGACTCGGTGATCCGATTTGAGCAAACTTTTTTTTGTTGGAAAGCTAACTGAAAGATCTACATTAATTCTCGGGCTATGCCCCAGAACCCAATCTCACGCGCCCTCACTCGCAGCCCTTGAGGGTCAAAACGTTAGTTTTCCGACAAACATTGTAAATCACCGATGTCCAGGTCAAAACTTTGGCAAATCTGTTCAAATTCTTTCAAAGTCAACCCTGAGGTCAAACTTTTTCTAAACCTAACTGTAAAGGTCCGAAAATCGTAGATAATTCAATCAACCTCGCGTCAACGGTCATCTTACAACAATCAACAATCAACTGCTGAAGCCTCCACTGACTCATCAACATTATGTAATCTTCAATATGCTGAAATTCTACATGATGAGTTCAGGAAACCGTCATGTGTGGTACATGTTCAGATTGCTCCACACACATGGCGGGTATGACAAGCTGTGAGCAATCAATCCTTGCACATTCTGAGGGGGAGTTTCAGTTTTCTCATCCTGGCGCCTTACACCGACAAAGCAAGGAATCTCTCAAAGGATGCAACATTTTAGGGGGAGTGTTCAATGTTATCCTCCCCGGTGCCTAACAATGACAAAGCATACCGAGTGCTCCAGTTGAGGGGGAGTACAGAGAGAAAATGAGAAAGTAATGAGAGAACATGTCCCTATGGCTTAGTAAATCCAACTAAGCCTACCCAAGGGACAAAGCCGAGCGTAAGTGCGTAAGTGAGCGAGTGAGTGAGTGAACATTATGAGCATTAGGAAGCAGAAGGCTCGAGTGAGAAGGAAACAATTATCAATGATGAGTCTGCTACCTCAATTGCCTGCTATGAATTGAACATTTGCTCCTAGCCACTAAAATACTCTGGACTATCCCCATAGGTTCAGGACTGAATTTATTCAGATCCCGGGTAGAAGTCGCTGCATTTTGTCCAAACGGCGCATGCACAACCCTACCCTAGACCACTCACTTGTCTCCCAACAGACAGGTGTTTAATCATAGTTCACGGGGAACCGCATCTCTCATTACTGTCTCCTTCCGAGGCAAGTAATACTGACTACAGTGGCCTCAGCCCCATGCCACTGAACTTTCATTGATCACGTCGTGTCTAGTTACTCACTCCCAAATGTTTTGAAATTTTCTAGGACACAGACGCACTTTTAGAGTCAGTTGCAGGTCTACATGACCCGCGAGAACTTCCATAGGTCTCATCTATTGCAGATGTAGACTAATGATTGGAAGGAAGTCCTGCTGTTGCAACATAAGAATCACCAACATTTTTAGGCCATTGCTTAAGAGTTTATCTCTATAGTGATGATAACGGGCGTCTTCACGACCCCGGGGGGCTACGTTATCTTTTTTAGATTCTGCTTGTTTTTCATGTTTTTATTTCCGCAGAATAAAAGAATAAAAGCATGACGTCCCGATTCATCGGATCGTCATGAGGGGGAGAGTGGTCCACATACTGTTAACACTGAACAAATCATTCTGGGACACTTCACTCCTCCATCACAAAAATCAACACCCTCTCTACTATCTCCGCAACTCAAATCAAATGGTCAGCTACACTCACAAATCAACCATCATTATGATCCGCTGTGCCACCGACAAGTTCTCCTCAAATGCATTCATTCCAAATAGTCAAAAAGACTACATTGTGGAGGAGACAGAGGTCAAACACTCGTGTCCTGAAGATGAATTCCATGGGTGTCTCCTATTCTCCAAAGAGTATTCATTCTTGAGGCGTCACCGGACTTCATCCAAGCTGATCAAGAGCAACTTCTGGAAGGCAAGGACTACATGCAAGATACTGGAGGTCCCTCAACCCCCGGCATCAAAGATCAAATTGTCAAGAAGACATCAAAGGGGAGATTGCAAGGATTTATTCAGATAGCCTTCTTCAGAAGTCAAGTTCAAAGACAAAGGAAGCTCAATAACAACAAAGACAAAGATATCTGCGCTGCAATGCTGATTCAACACGATTGATCACCAAGGGGGAGATTGTTGGGAATATTTTATGGTGTTCAATCTAGTTAGTTATCTTTGTATTTGTGTAGTTATCAATTAAACGTGTAATACGGGCCACAAATGTGTATCAGCCCGGGGGCTTCCTTGTAACCCGTAAGTTAGCCAACTTCTCCTATAAAAGGAGGCTAACTTACGGGAACCGAAAATGATCGAATAGAGGCTTTAGAGGCGCAGAGGCGAGATAGAGAGATAGGTTTGCCGCTGCTCTCCTTCTCCAGGGAGAGCAGCGGCCAGTTTTATACGGTATACCAGATTTGCGTTTCAATCTTGTCGATTTCTTCCTATCTGCTTCTTATTCTTCTTGTTATGATTGTTGTTTGTTAAATTATGGGATTAACAGTGGTAGTTCAATCATTGTAAGTAAAGGGAAAAGGAAAAAGAATTGGTCCCATTTGTCAAATCCCAAAAAGTAAAGAGAAAAAAGATTCTCAACAACAAAACCCTACCCTACCGAGCACAAAACCATACCCTACCAAGCACCATTTGTACTTCAATTCAACAAACTTACCATTACCAGCAACATTTGATGAAGAACTTTGATGACAACTTCTTCCTTCTCCATTCGATCTGCGCCCCATTCTGATTGCAAACACTCCAGCCGGAAGCGTCCTCATTCACCGGTATGGTTTTAGGGTTCGCAGAGTAATCGTCCTCATTCAGCCGGAAGTTTCATAGAGTAAGCGCAGGTATGCAGAGAATGGACTTCTAGCCGTTTTAAGCCTATGAAATTACTAGACTAACCTTCCCTTTTTTAATAAATGATTCAACCGGCCGGAGTTTTGGTCGGAAGGACGACGGATGGTAAAGGAAGAAAACGTCAGGACTAAATGTGGACAAGTTGAAAGTCAGCTACGTAATGCGGAAGTGGTATAATACTCGAGGGACCAAAAGTGGAAAATTTTCTCAAATGAATGACATGTATTAAAACCCACACCTCGAGATTTGTGTAAAAATGGGACCTTTCATCTTCAACCATCCGTTTTTTTAATCTAAGGGCTTAAAATTGCCAAGCACCCTCCTAGTCTGCTTAATCCAGGCAGAGACGTCAGATCCGTACTACACTACTACGTTTTGTCTCCATATATTTTTCAGCAGGTAGAAGAGGAGAAAGAACTTGAAGAACTTAACTTAAAGAGTATTACAGTAATGGCCGGTATTCATATAGATTAAAATTATTAAAAGTAAAATTTGGATTAGAATAATTAAATAATCAATCATGTAAAATGTTAAAGATGAATAAATGAAAATGTAAGTCTCAACAAATAATAAATCAATAATTAAATAAATAGAGTTGTGTTCACAATAAAACTCGAACATACATATAAAATTCTAAATGAAAGGTAAAACATGAAGATATATTATAGGGAAATTGTTCTAAATAGGAGTTAATATGTTTGTGTATTTCAAAATAAGACTATCATGTTTTTATTTCCTAAATATAACTAATTACTGTCCTGTTTTGGCATTCTAGACTTTAAATATGACATTATTTTCCGAATTTGATGGTAATTACCCATATTTAGAGAATAAAAACATGACCATTATATTTTGAAAATTTCAAACGTTTTTAGTACTATTTCGAGAGATAGTATATTAGATGAAAAGAGCTATGAGGCCTTGACTTTATAAAAAAGAAATGATATAAGAAGCTCTTGAACCTTACCCTTCAAAAACAAATCCATGCCTCTTTAACTTCTCTCATTTCAAACACGAGAATCATCGTAATAAGTTCTTTTTTTAATGAAAACGACTTAAATAGATATCTCAAAAACTCACAGATGACCACCCCAATATACATAACCAATCCGATCACGAGCTCTAGGATTAGATATAGAGTCGATCATTTCTAAATAAGAACAATGACTTGCAAATCTTGAAACGGGCAACTTGAAGTTAAACAAGATGATCGACCAAATTGACGTCTCTTGCCGTTCAACCTAATAAACGTATGCCTCCTACTAATAAACCAATCAAAACACACCCTACAATGATTGTAATAAGTCAAACAAGATGATTACATGTACATATTAATTAGTTAATAATTACAAGAGAATATATATCCATTCATTCGTCGCAACCACCAAATGATCTGATCATTTAATGGGCAGTAAAAGAAAATATTAATAATATAATCCAATTTGACATTATGATTTCCTATTTACACGACATCAATTGAATGTTAAATTGGATAAAGCCATGGAATGTCACACAACGTTATCCAATTTATTGTCTTGAATCAAACTGCAACACAAACCTAGCTATCTGCTACCTAGGAGAGAGCTGTGAGTACTATCGCATACATATGACTATTCTATCGCTCACCTCATAAAATAGAACACGAATTGAAGTAGTTAGCCAATGAATGAATGATACACACAATATTTGTGACTCCAAACTTAATTATTTTAAGCATTGTTAAAAATAATATGGCGGGGAGGATGATGAAAAAGAAGGTCTCGTCGGGAACTTGTCAAGAGCTTGAACTACTTCCCTCATGGACGGTCTCTTTTGCGGGATCGGAGATATACAATGGTACCCTAACCTAATTAGTCCCAACAAAGCCTCTTCTCTTCCTTCCATGTCATCACGGATCGTCACGTCAGCCATCTTCAATATTCTGCTCTTATCCTCATCCTCCAATGTAGTTGCTTCGGGGATCGGGCCGGGGCACATCTCGTCGGAGACGATCACTTTCCCGGTCAAGAACTCTAGCAATATCACACCAAAAGAGAACACGTCCCATTTTGGGCTGGGCTTGAGACTCCGGAGCGACTCCGGGGCAAGGTAGGGTGATACACCTATCGCGCTTGGGCTTGGGCTTGGAGTAGGCCCAATTGAATAATCTTGGAAACTCTCACGTGACGCGGTTGACCTCTTGCTACCAAAAAACCTGGCTGATCCGTAAGCCTTGTTGCTACATTCGCCCGGGGTGAGCCTCTCGAGCCCAAAATCTCCGATTTTGGGTTCCATATCGCTACCCAATAGTATATTACTGGGCTTAAGATTCCCATGGACATGCTTCTTGTCGTGAATGTAGCCCAGCCCACGAGCCACGCCTTTCGCAATCTTCAGCCGCAACCACCAAGGTATATGACAAGGTGAACACCCAGGTTTTCCTACCCAAAAGTCAAAATAATAAATTTAAAAACATGTTATTTGTCATTCATATCAAACAAGCTAACTAATATTTTAGGCCACCATTTACAAGGTACCCAGAATTAGCAAAAAATAGTACGTGCCAGAATTTGAAAACAGAATAGGTGTAGATCAGAGCAACGGCAACAAGAAGTCTGGTCACTTTCCATGCGAGCGAGCACGCATAAGAAGATGACAATTTTAGGGGGTAATAAAAAGGGAAAGAAATAAACAACTAAGTGAGACTTAGGTCACTATCAAGAGAGGCGTGCATTGGACCATTTATAAAGTACTTCGTAGCATTTAACTGCCATCTGTGCACACACAAATTATTGTTTACCCGGTCATAACTATATTTAGGGAGTATTTGCAAATGCTTTTGATTAAAAAAAACACTTTTTGAAGTGATTTTAGAAAAAGTGATTGGTAGGAAAAGTTGATAATGTTTGAGAAAAAAATGATTTTAAAAATTTAAAATTGGTAATGTTTGATAAAATAAGAGCTTTTAGTGTAATTAGAAAAAGTAAAAAACATTTTTCAACCAAAAGGCGAGAATGCCTTTTTTTTTACTCTTGCAAACAAAATTTGAGAGAGGTAAGTTGGTGACTTGGTGGCACGAGGAGGAGTTGACTTGGACCAGAAATGATGATTTGAGTCGCGCATTAAAAACAATGGTTTTGGTTACAACTACTCCCATTTCAAGTCCCACCCATCTTTAACTCCCAATCCTATCCCTGACAGAATTGAAAGGGCTTTAAAGTCGAATTCCATATTCCCATTCTAATTTTTTATTTACGATATATAATGACAGGTTGGTTCTTTCTTGTGCAGTTCTATCCAAACATGTTCCTAAGAATTTGTTACCTGGATTAATACTTTATTTGACGTATGCTACGTTAATATACTCATCCAATTAGCACCTGGCACAACCAAATTTATTAATTATGTCGACCTTTGTACCGATGCATCCCAATTTGTACTCTGCTTAGCCAACTTTTTATAATCGGCTACTTTGAGATTTGATTAAGGTTCCTCCAGAATAAAGCAGACCAGAAGATTTGTTTTCTTTTCTTCTAAAACTCTACTCTAAACTTCGATTTTGAACCGGAAGGTATGGACGTACGGAACCGGATATGAACAGGTTATCATTGATCGAAATGAAATCGGGAAATGTATTCGGGAGCGGTAGTATAATGTAACCATCCGGTTAAGTTTCAAATTGTTTGGGGACCGGAAATGGTCGATCTAAATTGGAGAAAATTGTATGAAAACGTATATGACTCGACTATGGAGTCTCATGTATCCATATGTGGCTTCATCATAGTCATTCTTTTTTCAGTGTATGATAGCCCACTCTAAAATTAAGTAAATGGTTATGATGATGTCACATATCAAAATGTGATCCCCAGGTGGAATTACTGGTGTTTCTATAAAATCTTCCATGTAAATGGAATCCATGGCGTAACTCAACTGGTAATAAGGGAGTGTCACAAGGGTCAGGTCCTGGGTTCGAATCTCGACAACTGCGATGAGGGGTCACTATTCTAAAGAGGCATAGAACCTCTGCAAGTATCAGGGACAGAGCCCTGATCTCTATATGTCAAATTGGAATTATAGTCCAATACATCATCACGTACCGTTCGGTCGGGGTTGGGGGCTAGGATGGAACTCAGTCCGCCCAAACTTATGCACATATCTATCATATTTGTTTTTTATAGTTTATACATATTTTTTATAGAGTTTCTTTTACCGATATTCGCACTTGATACGTCAATTATGGGTTTTAAACATTAATACACGTACAATTAAATAATTGTCGGCCATGAAATTTTTTACGTAGTACTCGTAGTATTTTCGAATCTTATGATTTGATGTGTAAATTATATATGCCTACTTGTACATCACATTCATGCAGAAAAGATTTATGTTCCCCTACCATCCTAAAATTTGTCCATGTTATGTCATTTCCGGCTCATACGCAAATTGTTATCTTGGGAACAAAAAATCATGCTATTATTAGAGTTGCAACTCGTCTCGTCACATATATTCAATTTTTTTTTCAAATGACTATAGTGAATAAAGGTGTAGAAGTGTTATAAAAACAATACTTTTTAAAAAAAGGGTCATATTCAGGGGCAGACCGTAGTACAGATCCAGGGGTTACCGTCCCCCAACAAGAATTTTTTAGTGTATATATTTATGAAAAATAATTTTCTCCCTCCGAAAAAATATTTTGATCCCCCCAAAAAATATTTTCGCCCCCCGAAGATGACTTTCCTGGATCCGTCCCTAGTCATATTAATGGTAAAATGTGAAACAAGAATCATTCCATCCATACGGTACGAAAAACCTCGACCTACCAGTGAGCGTAGCTCAACTGGTAGCAAGAGAGTGTCACAAGGATTAGGTCCCGGGTTCGAATCCCGGCAACTGCGATGAGGGGCTACTATGCTAAAAATGCTAGGGCCTCCGCAAGTAACGGGGACGGAGCCCCACTCTCTATCTGTCAGATTGAGATTATAGTCCAATTTACATCTCCCAACGTACCATCCGGTCGGGGTTGGGAACCCTCGGGGATGGAGTGTCATCTTTTTTGGAAAAAAAGGACCTTTCATGGTGGTTACTGGTTGCCATAAAAGCATCAAGCAAACACCCATTTACAGCCTCGACCTTCCACTGTTACTAAAGTGTCATCTTTAGAGGCTATGGTGGAGCCATTTGGACTAGTAGGGGTGGGCGTGGTTGGTTAACCGTGTTTTGGTTAACCAACTTTCCGGTTAACCGAGAAACCTATTACTTCGGTTAACCGATACTCGGTTAACCAAAACTTCGGTTAACCACAGACCGGTTAACCAAAAATCATCAAACCATTGATTAAATATATACACACACCATGTTCTTTCTATATTAATTAAGTTCAAGCTAGAGAAAAATAAATTTTGAGAGTGAAATACAGGAAAAGATAAAATACACTTAATCAGAATAAACGTGTTCAATTGCTTCAAAAAAAGAATACACATGTTCAAGTCTCACGATTGCAGAATGAGCTAATTAATTATAACTCACAAAAGCTTTGACTAATTATTAATAATATGAAATTAAAATTTCCATAGTGACAAACATAATTTGGTTTCTTCACATGTTTATTAGAATTGATGTATCTAGATGTGTTGGATACATATTTATCTTTCCAAGTTCTCTGAGAACGTAAAGTTCATGACCAGACATGAACATACCGGTTATTGGTTAACCGATAATAACATATTTCTAAAACCGTAACCGTACCGCGAACCGTTTATTCTCACGGTTGGTTAACCGTACCGTGGATTTAAAAAATTGCGGTTCGGTTAACCGGGAAAAACGGCGGTTTTCCGGTTTTTAGGCGCGGTTATACGGTTACGGTTTTTTATGCCCACCCCTAATTTGGAGGGGCTAGCCCCCAATAATTTTCTTAAACTCCCTTCCCTTGGATAATATTTCTGGCTTCCCACTGTTTAGAGGTTTAATGGTAAATCTTAAAATGATTAAAGTGACTGAATATTTCAAATTGTTGAATTTCTCACAAATAAACTTGTATTGATATTTTTATAAAAAAACATATGAAAAAGACTTAAATTCACCTCTAGCAATTTCAGTAAAAAGAAAGTAATCTAGGTAATTTCTTCCAAAAAAAGTGACGATCAAACCATAACTCTTTTCAAACTCTCTAAACAGTTTTTTTTGAGTCAAAGATCGACGACATGTCTCGTTTCCGTTTTTTCATTATTTTCACATTGCGACATATACCACAACTTGAACATACATTCTTGACACACTTCTAGGTCCATAAAATGTTGTATAGGTTCATTGTATTTGTATATTCATTTTATGGACATGGCCTCATTGAAGAAGGTTCTTCTAAATTTTAGGGTTTTGACTTTTAACTTTAGTTTAAACAAATTTATCTGCAGAAAAGAAGACTTACTGTAACGTGCATGGGCCAGACTGCCATTAGGAACGAAGTCATAAATCACCAGCTTCTCGTCGGCGCCCCAGTAGAACCCTCGAATCCTGACCAAGTTTGGGTGGACTAGCTTGGCTATCACCCGGACGTGCGTTTCGAATTCCCGGAACCGCTCCACCCCGCTTTCTCCGATCCGCCGCACCGCCAGCGCCGTCCCGTCTTCTAACACCGCCTTGTACACTATTCCCGACCCACTAGCTCCGACGACATACGCTGACGCCTTCAGCAAAGTTTCTAACTCTATCTCTTTCTCCCCGTCCAGCGTCACCACTTCCCCTGTTTTCCCGCCTTTTATTTGCTCTGTTTCCAAGTGACTCTGTTTTTCCGACTCCTCGGACTCGGAGTTCGTCGTTTCCGAGGATTCCTCGGTGTTGGTGCGGCTCTTGTTTTTCAAACACGCCCATAACGTTGGCCAATTATGTTCCGTCGGAGAAGCCGCCGCCGATGATGCCCAGTCGTAGTCTTTTGCGTGGTCCGGTTCTTTCGTTTTCTTAGCACTGTCTACCGTCCTCTGTTTCTTTGCCTGATAAACGTAGATGAAAATCAGCGAAATAATTGTTAGTGCGGCGACATCTCCGGCGATTATTGCTATAATCGAGCTAGTTTTGAATCGTGTATGTGAAGGAGTGGAGGAACCGGAGTCGGAGTCTGTTGCAGGATTGGATTCTATAGGTTTCGGAATTGCTGCTATGGCCGGTGGCGATGTCGGTGCCGATGAAAGACAGAGGTTTTCCAGCATGACGCCGCATAGTTCAGGGTTCCCGGAGAATGCTTTCGAGTCTTGGTTCAAGAAAACACTAGAATCCGGAATTTCTCCTGTTAAATTGTTGAACGAGAGATCGAGAATTGCCTCCGATGGAATCCCGGTTGCGAACTCCGGTGGGATTCTTCCGGATAGACGGTTGAAGGAAGCGTTGAGGTAACGCAGGTTGGTTCCTCCGAAGTTGGGAGGAAGAGATCCATTTATCAAATTCGACGACAAATCTAATTCTTGAACTGAGTAAATACCGCCGGGAAGTGGCCCGGAGAAGTAATTGTCTCTCAAGTAAACTGCCGTCAGGTTGTACAGACTGGTTAAAGTTACCGGAATAACCCCTCCTAAGGCGTTACCGGAGAGATTGAGAGACCGGAGGTTCTTGAGGCGTCCAATGCTCTCCGGCAGCTCGCCGGAGATCCGGTTGTTAGAAAAATCAAGACTTTCAAGCTCTGAAGCATCAAACAGAGTCAAAGGAATCGACCCATTGATTGAATTGTTAGAGAGGTCAAGAAATCTAAGGTACTGAATCATACCAAGACTGGAAGCGACAGGGGCAAGAAGCATCGAATTGGGGAGGCTCAGGCGGGTGGTCCGGGGAGCTCCGTCGGAAGCATTAGCCGGAACCTCACAAGAAACGCCTCGCCAAGAACACGGCGTTTCATCGCCGGCGTTCCAGTTACCCAATACCGCCAGAGGATCTCGGAGAACACTGGACTTGAAATGCATTAAGAGAACGCCATCGCTGTTGAGGGCAAGGGACGGGATAAATGAGAGAAAGAAGAAAAGAATTTGGAAAGTCATTGTGTGTGAAAAGGTTGCCGCATGTTTTCTCTTTTCTACCTGAAAAACGAGAGAGAAAGGAGGAAGAAGAAGACCGAGAGATAATAAGTCAGACCATATATGAAGGCGTCAACCCAAATCTAGGTACTTCCACAGTCACTAAATAAATACCGTAGTACTTTGGAGTTACTTTGTTTAGGTTTGGACTTTGGACTTTACACTTTCAACCATTATCTCACTTAGGCAGTAAAACTTTTTATAGTTGTCTTTGAAATTTTTGCAAGCTGTGTTTGAAATTTTTTATTCTTAAACTATTATCACAGTGATAATTTTATTCTCGTTCCAAATCACATGAACTATTGGAAGGACTAAAAGTGTCAATTCGATAATACTTGAGAGGTTAAATCTGAAAAAACTCGTTGTCAATGACTAAGAGTGTCTATGATACAATAGTTAAAAGACAAAAAATAAAAAAGTAAAAGTTGAATACCAAATAAAAACCATTTAGGTGTCATTTGAATATATGAAATCAAACTTATATAATATGGAGTAACAAAACACTTGGTATACATTATGATAGAGAGTACGGGCCTCAACCTACGGTCCACATACTCTTGGACATACGAACAACTCAAATCCGCACCTGCAATAGAAGGCCCAGCTAGAGAAGATCAATTAGAAGGTTCTCTAACTCTTCCATAAGCTATTCAAAAGATTGCTTTGGATTGAGCAGGTTGTTTAGCATAAGTCATAACCTGAACTACACGAGAGTTTTGATGAATGCATCAACCCTAAAATGTCTTAGAGCCCGTTTGGTGACTCTGCTTTTCGGCTTATCAGACTTTTGATCAACTTTTTCACCAAATATGTTACTTTTTTATTTCATGCGGTGAAATATGTAATAATAAGAAAAAATAAAGCTGGAGTAACTTTTGTAGCTGTATTGGCTGAAGTTACTGTAGATGATCAAATGTATCCGACCTCAAAATTTCCGTCGAAAAGTATATATTTTAATTTCTTGTGAGAAAAATATTTATTGTGTACAAATTTGTACAGAATGTAATTTCTACAAGTAACTAAAGTTACATGAGAATCAAAACGTATATGAATTCTCCCATAGACTAAAATCAACTCGAAAGTTCTCTAACTCTTTCATAAGCTATCAAGAAGATGGCTTTGGATCGACCGAGTTGTTTCGCTTAACTATGCGAGAGCTTTGAAGAATGCATCAATCCTGAATGCCTTAATATATAACTCTAACCATCATAAAATCAATCATCTCAAAACTAAAACCATTATTGCCAAAATAATTGCATTACTAAGCATTAACATGACACTATATACTGTCATTTATATTTTTCAATGAGAAATACAGTTTCCAGCAAAAAAGCTAGAGAAAATTAGATTAAGCTGGCCTCAAAATTTCTGTCGAAAAGTATATTTTAATTTCTTGTGAAGAAAATCTTCAATGTGCACAGATTTGTAGAGAATGTAATTTCTACAAGTAACTAAAGTTACGGGATAAAAATAGGCATATTAAAATACATGATTAAATCCTCAAATTTATCTACTTTTTTAATAAATTTCAAAAATGTAGTGAAATGGCAGAATAAAACATATTGATTATCAAGATCTAATTTAGGGACAAAGTCACTATTTCCATTATTCGTTTATCCTTAGCTTCTACAACTTTTTTGGTGATCTTAGCTTCTACATTGTTAGTAATGTATTTTGAGTTAAACTAGTCATTAAATACTTCATAATGTTTGTAACATGAAATTTGACACAATTAATACAAAAAAAGTAAATTTATATTGTGAGCATTTAATTTAATTAATACGTGAGCCTATTAGCCTAAGAATAGTTAACAATTTTAACTTTTTAAGAACCACAAGGTATGAATAAATTTAAGAGCCTGTTCGGTGACCCCTTTTTTCAGCTTATCAGACTTATCAGTCGGTTTTTTCACCAAACACGTAACTTTTGATTGCACGCACTGAATTTTGTAATAAGCAGAAAAAGTAAGGTTGTGGTTACTTTTCTGGCTCTATCGGCTGAAGTTACTGCAGAGAACCATTTTAGCTATTTTTACATATAAATTTTTCTTTATTTTATTAATAAAATATATTTTAAATTTATTTTTTTCATGAATCAGCAAAATCAGCCAATACAGTCACTTCAACCGGAACTTCATAAATTTCAACAGATTCAGCCGATTCAGCCGATTTCAATGTTACCAAAAGGACTCTAATATGATAAATACTCCGTATGAAAGATCAATCTATTTGATGTGGGGCTCGAGTGAGATTAAATGTACTCGTACCATAGAAGGGGACCATCAATGAAGTGAGAATAATAAATATTCTATAGGACATGCACAGCTCACCCCCAAACTTCTTTAATACTGAATCGCGTTTAGACCATTATAGCTTGCTGATATGATTGGAGTACTTTTTAACAAACGAGAAATTAATCTATTTGGGGTTGGCGAGTGTAGTCCAATGTATTACCATCCACCTCAAAGTCTCTCTTTGTGAAAGGTTTTGGGTTCAACTCTCACCAATAAGGGGAGATGAGGGAGGTCTTGCTCCCAATGATTCTTCTTACCGGAGTTGCTCAGCGGCTGAGAAGGGAGATGATAGTAATGAAGGTGATGCAAGTCCTGCTGGATTTGTTTTTTGGAGCCAGTACTGATGAGGCTGACTGTGATCAGATCTGGATTTAATTGTCTAGGAGCTTTGGAGGATAGTTCATAGACTCTAGGATTATGGGAGCGTAAGCCCCGACACCTGAATTATAAAAAAAGAAATTAATCTATTTTAGTACTCCCAAATCGATCTGATACTCCCAATTATTCTAAAACTAGAATTTATTGTATTGTGTACTTCAACATTATTTTAGTTCATTTTAATTGATCCGTAAAAACATTACTTCAGCCAATACGTCCACCATCAATTTTATCAAGTAAGTGATTATAAACTTTGGTCAATGATTTTAATATTTTTTTTAAATTTTTTATGATTTTAATAATTTTAATTGATGTAACTTTGGTCATTTTAATTGATGTACTTTTACTAAAGCACTTTCATCGAAGAACATTTTCGAATATTTTTTATATTATAATTAAATCACTTTCTATAAAAATATACTCCCTTCATTCTCCAATATTTGTCCTTATAGGGTTTGACATGAGTTTTAAGAGGAAAATAACAGGGGTAATGTAAAATGTGTTATGAGTTGCAATTGAATGAAAAAGTAGAAAAGAAAATGAGATATATTCATATATTTATTGAAAAAACTTTCTAAAATAGAAAGGAAGACAACTACTCCAAAATATGCGAGTTTTGGAGAATGGATGGAGTATCATTGATCAAAATTTTACCAGATTGATCAAAGATCTTAAAATTGATAGAGTCTTAAGGGATGAAAGAAAGTATTATATGGATCGACCCAACATATATCGGTGGTCCATCGCATTATGGCTTAGCTGGGCCGGGATTCATTGGATATTGAATTATTATGAGATGATGAATTGGAGAATTGAATTAACTGTCAAATGACTATCTAATCCAACAGATTGTATAATCAAGCATGCTGCATGCATGTGTTCCTAGGTTAAGTGCGTGGTCACGTTTCATACTACCCTTGTGTTTGATGAAAATAAACTAATACACTTAAATTAAAATGTAAAAATACATTTTCAATTAAAGCGAGTTCGGTTCAAATGATTTAGTTTTTACCTAAAACTAAATGTTCCTTTTAGTCAAGTTTTATCTTTCAAAATTTGAGATCACGGTTTGTTCGATTTGATCTATTTTGATTAGGGTTTGATTTTTTCAGTTTTTAATAGTTATTAAAAAACATAATTATTGAAAAATGAAAAATAAACCTACATCAAAGTATAAAACAATGATAAATAGCAATATAATACAAGCACATTTGAAAAAGAGAGAAGAAACGAATGTACTTTCAACCAATGAATTAGAGTGTACATCTCTTTAAATATATTTTTTAAGAATTAAACATACACTAGTAGAAAAAGGTCTTATAGTGACACTAATTTAGTGTGAGTGAAAGTTTCTATGACACTAAAAAAGTGTCGGGGAAAGTGGCGGCTAGTGACACTAAATATAGTGTCACTAATTATAAAACAAAATAGTGTCAGTAAATTATGACACATTAATGTGATGCAACATTATGAAACATTGATATCATAAAACGTTGTGACACCTTGGTATCATAAAAATTTCCGACACAATGGTGTCATATAATTACAATAATAATATTATTATTATCATTGTGTTATTTCGTTCTAGTTTTATTATAGATTATATAAATATTAATAAATAGCCAAAACAAAAGAACAATTTGTATTTATTACTCAAATTATTTTACAATGTCAATATCAATAAAATACTACACAAGTAGTGTATTACAAGATGCTATAAATCTACACTCTAATCATACAACATTTTTATATGCTACACGCTAGACATCATAATTCCTTGCATTGTCATCGTAATCCAATAAAGCAAGTCTTCAGAGTACTTCTCAATATCTCGTTCAACATAGCCTGCATCATTTTTTAACTTTGCAATATTATAAGTAGCAAAAATTAATAAAATAAAGCCACCACTAATACTCTAAAAAATCAATTTGGTGTTAATACTCAACAAAAACTCTTTGGCTGAAAACCAAATCACTAATCAGATATGCAAGAGAGTTAAACAAGATATAGATCAAACCAATGTTTTTTGGGCATGAGAAATAACTACAAAGTACATCATATCTACAAGGAACAACAAGCAATGAATTTAACCCTTTATTCACAAGTAACATGCCAATATAAGTACTTCAATGATATAAAATTTCAGAGTGAACCGTGATTCTGCATACTTTGTAAATGGGTTGACCACAATTATCCACACTGCAATTTTTGAGGTAACTAAATATTTTTGCATATTCAGAGTGAATTGTGATTCCGCAGAATATCCAAACATCATATAACCCATCACCGTTGTTCCACCATACAACAAAGTCACTATCCCAAAACTGCATCCATCCACATTCGCACGTGTTAATTATAATTAATCAATAATCAGTGGTTTGCAGTTTTATACTCGTATTTAATATGGAATGACTTGACACTCAACAATATGTATTAATTGTCAGAACACGTCTGAATTTACATGGAACTAATGGTATTTACACTCTTTTTGGTTCTTTGAAGATACTGATGACAAATGGAAAGAACTGTGAGCCATAAGACAAAAGTAGTGTATGCCATCTAATATAGAAACATTATAACCTCAAAATACAGATTAGTTAAGGCATAATGAAACACTCGTACTTACATATAATTCCGCATATAAAACAATCTGCAACCACAGAACACAACAAGGTAAAAAGGATGTTAGTGCAAGCTATGCTTTAAATTCTCATTGCTTTATTTAATGTGTAATACATAAAAACTCAAAATTTTGCATTTTTCTTAGGTGGCAGAAAACCAAAGAAACTTACAGAAATGAAAATCCGGCCAGTTGAACCAGAGAAAACACCAAATCAAACAACATTAACAATAATCAAAACTTGCACATTCAAAATCAAAGTAGCTACAAAGAGGAAGAAAATAACGAATCCAACACAGTTGCATAGTACACAATTTAAATGGGCTAACCTTTTTGAAACTCTGGCATTCCTCTAATCTGTGCATTTCTATAAAAAAACAGCTTTATGACAAATCATAATATAATAATATAATAATAACAATAATGGGAATAAAGAAGTGAAACACTTCAAGAGGCATTCATCAATATATATCACCTTGGGACCTGTAATTTCAAGTGTAAAATAAAAAATACACAAACTGACAAACTATTTATAGTCATTGAAATCTTAAAATCATGCAAAGACAACATAGCTAGGAAAGATATTGTAAAGTTTGTGAAATTTGTCGAACAAGCTGGTCTATTTGTTCATCTAAGGATTGTTCATTTAAGGGGAATTACTATTTTATAACAGCATTGCAAACTTGCAGCGAGATGATTATATCAATAACATTGCAGTGGGATAAGATTGCTTATTTCAACAAATATCTAAACTTATTGCAGTAGCATTATGTTTTAGCCTCTATTTTGTATCCCATGATTTCTTTCCTTCCAATATACCTCTGTGTTTCTCTTCTGATTGCTTTCCCCCATTTGTCTTCTGCCATCCAAATGGAAGCTAAGGAATATGTCAATATCCTAAGCAAACGAAAAAATCATGTTATAATAAAAACAAAATCACATAAGAGTACCACTTAAGAGCTAGGGACCATTTTGTTATAATATAGCATCAAGGCACATTTACCTTCTAGGAACCAAAGCACTTGTGGTCTCAATCTGGTCATGACTCATGGCACATGGGAGAGTTACCACTTACCAGTTGCATTTCATAATACCCAGACATCCTGAAACAAGATTATCTGCTAATAATCTAGCGAGTTCACACCAAATCTGCTAACAACATATGTTGTGTGTGTGTGTTGAGTGTGCGGCATAAGCTTAATAAGCTCTAGGTAGGCTTCTCAAATTTTGACAATAACTTGTATATCCATTTGCATAACCTTATCAATATCTGATGCTCCACTAAATATATACATGCCCTCAATTTGACCTTGTTAAACCACAATTTAAGAATTTATTTTCACAATATATATCAGAATTAGAAACATAAAAGAAGGGCACAAATGGACAGAAGCACAGTTTTTTCCTTAGTTAATGTTTCCCAAATACTTAGACTGATTAGGCAAATGGTTTATTGCTCTGCTCTCATCATGAGATATGAAACTGTATTACATAAGTTTCATAAACATGAATTAGAAAAAGGAAAGTAATATCTCTTATCAAATTTAATGCTTTTATGCATTGTGTCCAATTGAATGTTTAGATATTCGATGAAATAAGAGCATTATAAGTTTATAATATTTAGAAATCTAATATTTATCTTTATAAATTAAAACCAAATGGATTTGGTAAATATAGAAACCTTTAGAAACGTTGACCACATCTCCTTCCTCCCATTGATCCAATGGTGAATTTAGAATTCCAGAAAGCTAGTTTTAGTTCTAAGCTTAAGATCCCAAAACCAATGTTTCAGGATTATAAAACAGATCACGCTCTTTATTGTTGTAAACCTGAAACCTAACTAATGTTTTTTGCACTCATAGCATGTTTATGAGTTCAGAACCATAGCTCTACATTACAAAATTCCAATTCATGCCCTCAATTTGACCTTTTTAACCACAATTTCAGAATGTATTTACACAGTATATATCAGAATTAGAAACACAAAACAAGGGAACAATTTAAATGGACAGAAGCAGATGACTATTTTCGAGGAAGGGAGATACAAGATATGAGCAAGTTAATTCAAATCTACAGTCATTAAGTTAAAAAAAGCTTGCTGCTAAATACAATTACAACCTCTTCTTCACTAAGTAGGTGTAAAGCTAATGTATAATATTCTAAAAGGCAATTAGATGGTTTCAAATAATTCTGAATTTATTTTAAAAACTAAGAATTAAAATTAGGAAGGTAAGTATACAGAGTCTAGCTAGTGAACGATGACCTACCAGTTAGTCTCATCTTACGAAATCTTCCTCCGTAAAATGAGAATCCCAAGGAAAATGAAGACTCGCCGAACCAGTTTGTCTGTAGCTAGGGTAAGGTTGAGGTCGCAAGAAATCGATTACCTAAAGCGTCCAGAAAGGGGTGATAGTGTCCATCTGAACAAGCATCCTAAAGTGATATGTCCGACGAGTGGCGACGATGCATCTGACGAGTGGCGACGATGTGTTCCACGAGTGGCCACGACGTCCATCCTAACAGGTGCTCAGTGATGCGTTGGATGAGTGGTCACGGCGTTCAGCGTCGAGCGGCGGGTTTAGGAGGAAGTGAATGAGAGAAAGGGGAGGGGAGGTGAAGGAGGAAGAATGTAATCGTATAAATGTGTTAGGTTTAGGAAATTTTAAAAACTAAAATTAAATTATAAATTCAGCTCAAAGTGTCACTCTTATGTGTTGATGTAATAATGTCATTAGTTAGTGATATATAAATGTCATAAATGTATTAGTGACATCATAGTGTCACTGAACAAGTGTCACTATAAGCTATTTTTCTAGTAGTGATATAAGTTATATTTAAAATATAAATAGTGTAGCTTGAAGTTAATCTTCTATTAAAGAGAAGCAAATAGACGTACGCAGTATTTTTGTATTGTTTTTTTATCTGTGGAATGAATTACAAAGTTCCTATATACACTTGACGCAGCGAGAAGTTCTCCTCTGCCAGCTAACCACACGCTACAAAAAAGGAGGAAAATACATGGCTACAATGAATCCTAAAACAACACAACTCCTAGTCGTACTTATCACAAACGTACGTACTAGGAATAAATGTACCAAAATAAAGTGTTACAATAAAATACACACCAACACCCCCCCTCAAGATGGAGCATGGGGATCACAAATGCCCATCTTGGCAAGCAAATAAGTAAATTGGGAAGCTCCAAGTGCTTTTGTCAACAAATCTGTGGGCTGCTCGGTAGTTGATGTATAGGATGGAGAGATTGTACCAGCCTGTATATGATCCCGAATAAAATGACAGTCAAGCTCGATGTGCTTGGTTCGCTCGTGATAAACTGGATTAGAGGCAATGTGGAGAGCTGCCTGATTGTCACAATAAAGTGTCACTGGAGAAGAATGTGTGACGCCCAGGCACTGAAGTAAGTTGCGTAATCAGATAAGTTCACAAGTGAGGGTGGCCATGGATCGATATTCTGCCTCCGCTGAAGAACGAGAAACTGTGGCCTATTTCTTGGTGCGCCAGGAAATAGGAGACTGTCCGAGAGAAACAAAATAGCCGGTCACAGAACGTCGTGTGACTGGACAACTTGCCCAGTCAGCATCACAATACCCCATCAAGGTAAGAGCGGAGTCTGACCGTAATAAAATGCCTTGGCCAGGATGGCTCTTAAGGTAGCGGAGAACACGTAGGACAGCCTCCCAGTGCGCCATCTTGGGACATTGCATAAACTGGGAGAGAATATGAACATAATAGCTAATATCCGGCCTGGTCAAGGTAAGATAAATTAATTTCCCAACCAACCGCCGATAGCGTTCTGGGTCAGAAAAATTAGGCCCAGTATCCGATTGTAGTTTATGATTCTGTATCATGGGAAAGGAGACAGGCCGCGCCCCAGTCAAACCCGTTTCAGCCAAAATATCTAACACATATTTGCGTTGGCACAAAAAAATGCCAGTAGAATTGCGTGCTACTTCAATACCCAGAAAATACTTCATGATGCCCAAATCCTTTACGGGAAAAGAAGTAGCGAGAAAAGCCTTAAATGCCATAATCATGTCACGATCATTGCCCATGATAAGGAGATCATCAACATGAATTAAAACACATAGAATCTGACGATCCCGTCGCAGAGTAAATAAAGAATAATCAGCGTGAGATTGACAAAAACCATATTTCCGCAAGGAGGTCGTGAGCTTAGAGAACCAACATCGGGGTGCTTGTCGGAGCCCATAAAGTGATCTAAGCAACCTACATACCTTGCCTGGGGAAGAAACAGAAAATCCGGGAGGCAAGTGCATGTATACCTCCTCATGCAAATCTCCGTGAAGAAAGGCATTATCAACATCCATTTGATGAAGTTCCCAGTGGCAAGAAGCAGCAACCGCCAAAATGGTACGAACAGTTACCATTTTAGCAACTGGGGCGAAAGTCTCGCTGTAATCAATGCCATGCACTTGTCGATTTCCACAAACCACCATTCAGGGTACTGACCAGTCCTACGGAAACAGTGTTCCGCCTCATGTCCGGGTTTATTACAGTAAGTGCACTTAACCCTTTCATCTCTTGTTCCGCCGGCGAACCCAGTCCGGGCAGCAAAAGCTACTGCCTCTGGGGGGTGTTCTTCACGTCCACGCATGATATTCTGATGCCTCTCTTCCTGAGTGATCATATGATAAACTTTGGTAAGCGACGACAATTCATCCTCGCTAAGGATGTTCGTTCTTAGTGTTCCGTAGGTGTCACGATCGAGTCCTAATAAGAACTCGTGCGTTTTCTTCTTTTCTACCTGTTTCAAAAATAATTTTTCAAGTTCACAGGTACATCGACCGCAAGTGCATTGGGGAACAATTCGAAAACCGTCATAATCATCCCACGGGGCTTTCAAGCGTCCGAAGTACGTGGTTATGGGCTGGCCATTTTGACGACAGCCCCGAATCAACTCCTTAAGCTCGTGAGTACGCATCGCATCACCAACAGCAAAACATGTCTTCAAATCTTCCCAGAATTCATATGCATTATCCATGTAGCTAAGGTTGGTTCTGAGAGATGGATCAATCGAGGCCATGATCCACCCTACCAACATGGAATTAACACACACCCAATCTTCAATGTGTTCCTCATCCGTCGTCGGTCGCTTGATGGTTCCGTCAATGAAACCTATTTTCCGTTTTGCACGGAAAGCGTTCTTCATCGCCGTTGCCCATTCACGATAGTTGTTTTCGCCTTTGAGAACAACTCCACATATGTTCAAATCCGGAAAATCCGAATTTTACAAATAGTATCGGGAAGATGGGTCGTTGGTTCGTCTTCATCGTTCATGGTTTCCGTTGCCTCCAACGCCTACTGATTCTCCAGCCATTGATTGTTTGCTTTGTGATTGTCGCTGCCCAGTTCTCACCGCTCTCATACCATAAAGAGAAGCAAATAGACGTACACAGTATTTTTGTATTGTTTTTTTATCTGTGGAATGAATTACAAAGTTACTATATACACTTGACGCAGCGAGAAGTTCTCCTCTGCCAGCTAACCACACGCTACAAAAAAGGAGGAAAATACATGGCTACAATGAATCCTAAAACAACACAACTCCTAGTCGTACTTATCACAAACGTACGTACTAGGAATAAATGTACCAAAATAAAGTGTTACAATAAAATACACACCAACATTATTGATGGTAAATAACTTAAAATAATATACTCCGTATTTTATTTTCATTTTAGACAAATGTATATATGATCTAAAGTTCACATTTTATGCTTAGTAATTTAAAAATAGTTGAATAACTTATATGTTGTTTAAAGTACTGTATAATTTAGATGAATACATATTTTTCCGCAGTAAAAAGTTGTGTGGTAACAAAGTAATTAATAATGTAACAACAAAATATCATTCTCATAAAACAACAAACAAAAATATCAATATATAAGTACTACTATTAGTATTATAGCAAGACACTGAAGTGTATATAGAAGTACGTGTTTGGCTCAATTAAGCCATAAATATCCAATGTAAATATTTTAAAAATCATAATAAATCCAGTATCAAACATTAACTTTCTAGGATAAAGAATCACGAACTAGAAAAAATATTGTACTTAATGATTAATAAAAAGAAGGTATATTTTAAAGAGTTCGGCTTAACTTTCGGTTTGGTTTGAATTTTAAAAGTGGAAACGAAACATGTACAGTTTGGTTCGGTTTTCCGAGTTGAGATTTGATTTTCCTGCATTTCAGTTTGTTTTGCTTGCGGTTAGGGATTGTTGATTCGGCTTTCGTCTTTCGATTTTCGATTTTCAGTTTCACTGACCTACCCCTATTTTAATGAGAAATTGTATAAATAGGACTCAAACATGGGATTTTTTTAAAAAGTATACCTATAATAAAACTTATTTCCACAAATATGACCAGTACAAACAAACTATCTTTTACCAACAGTAAGAAAACTGTTGGTAGAAATAGATAAACCGTTGGAATAGACATTATTTGGTTATACCAACGGAAGTTAATGCAATTCCCGAAAAAAATGGGTGCTAGTATACGTTCCGTCGGTATAGACCAAAACCAACATATTTATTGCCCGTCGGAATAGCTCATTAAATTGTACCAACAGTACACTAAGTGTTAGTAATCTTATTTACCGTTGGCAACACTTCATATGCCATTGGTATTGCGCTTATTGTATTTAACAACAATTAAATTTTAATTCATATACAAAACACACATGTACATTCAAAATAGAATTACATTTTGAGGTCTAAAATCAAAACATTATTTCAAGTATGATTCAAAATTACTAATTAAACATTTTTATTTTTATTTTTGAAAAAAACATAAAATTTTGACTACTACATGTGAATACATTCAAGTATAACATAACTATTTGGCTTAAGGAGCAACACAAGTTTCATTTTTGTCCAAAAGCTTCTTTATCTTTCAACACTTGATCAACTAAATCTCAATACCTGAAATTAAAAAAAATAGTGTTTAGCCGAATGAATAATAAACTATAAGAAGGATTTTCGTATATATAGATGAAAAATACAGATGAATTAAACCATCGAAAGAATGAGTAAGAGGAATACATCAGTAAACCTTAAACTTCAATACATTCAGATTGTGAACTGGTATTAAGAAGTAATTTTAGATTCCATTCATATATCAAACTAATAACCAAAACACTAATTGCAGATTAATTCCGTATTGCAAACTAATTCCAGATTGCAAACTAATAACCAACATAATAAAATATTCTAAACTTAAAGAGAACCTACAATTTAATACATTAATAATTATAACTGCTACACAAAAGAAAACCCAAATAGTTTGGAGTCATGCATCTAAAAGTTCTAAAACTTCTTTTCCTTTAATTTATGAGCTATTAGGTTATGAATCAAATCAATCATGAATCGAGATTCTAAACTAATTTACATACCAACCTGGTAATGTATAATATGGTAATTCTTAAAAAATTTACCTTTTAAAAGTTCCGTTCTACAGAAAACACTTTAACGTCAAACTTTTACCTATGTGATGTTTTTTCAGTTAAACATCCTAGATTACATAATAGTGAGCAAATGTAAGTCATAAATACTAAAAAAACATGACAAACAGTTCTACACTAATTTCCTAGAAAAACAAACTGATATAGTGATAGCATATGAGTTTGGTAAAATTGACTTTGGGCGGTGCAATATTTGAAACCAAAGCTTCTTAGGTTCTCTAGTTTAATTAGCTCCTCATCTGGCAGATCTGATCAAAAAATAAATTGGAAAAACAAAGATCAACGACTCATAACGCCTTGTTCGGCAAATATCTGTTAGTTGAATATGGATTGTGTTAGCTTATTTTGACCAGTTAAGTGTATTGCTATCAGTTGTTTTAGCCTTTTGGTATAAGTAGTATGATCGGCCGATTGCGATATCAAAAAGCCAATAGCTAATAGCTAACAGGCTAATTGTATGGAGAAATACAGTTCAAAAGTTGGGCTATGTTTGATTAAATGAGCTTATAGGTAGGCTAGTTTATAACATTAGCTAATACGTAGTAGCTTTTGACTTGTAGTAGTAGTTGATAATGACTATGACCTCATATACTCCTTGGTAACAATTTGCTGGAAGGTTAGTTTATTATATTAAAAGTGGACCTATGTACAAAAGAAAAAGAAGTAGCACATCTGAAAAGCTAACAGAAACGCTTATTATATAAGCCCTGAAGGATAAAGAAAACAAAGACAAATATTATCATAATCTGGAATAGGTTAGGGAGTATTTGGTATGACATGATGCAAATTTTCACTAAGAAATTACGTTAGTTTCTAGTATAAGGCACCAAACTATAGCTAAGTGATTTAAAGAAGTTTCTTCCTTTTTTAGAAAGAAGTAATTTGAAGAAGTTTATCTAGAAGATATTGAATGAATGAAAGAAAGTAAACACGAAAAGAGAGGACTAAAAACAAAAGAAATAAAGAAAAAGAGGCACATCTTACAAGAAAACATGTTTGACGACCCTGGATAAAGAGAGTGGTATCTCCCCAGACAAGCATTTGTTTTCCCAACCTCATGTTCAGAAAAAGAGGCACATCTTACAAGAGGGGAAAAAACTCACAATGCAGTGACAAGCTAGAATATCAGGAGAACAAGTTATCATAGCCCAACAGAAATTTAAGATTAAGAATAAGAAACTCAGTCAATGAGATAACACCAGAATCACACTGGCCATACGATCAACTAGAAGTTACACATGCCAATTGATATTACTATGTATATATTTATAGGTGAACCAAAAGTTTCACAACATATAAGCAGATGAATTAAATGATAAGTTGATATGGGACAAACCTAAAATGATTGTCATTTGATGAACCTGGAGTTTACAAGATTCTCTGCCTCCTTTAAAAGCTCACCATCTAAAACAACTACTAACGTATACCATCTCCTACCCCCTCACATCATCCTCTTGGACTTTAAACATCCTATATTTTATCAAATGGAGTATACAAATTGGTAAGAAGTAGCAAATTGTGTGTGTGTGTGTGTGTATATATATATATATATATATATATATATATATATATATATATATATATATATATATATATATTACTAAATCCAAATATAAAATAATCTAAATGAAAAATTCAAATTGAAGTTCAATTTGTTGTCCAAAGCTTCTTTGTTCTTCCATGTTCAGTCGCAATTCTCCAATCCTGAAATTAAAACAACCCCTCATAGTGTTTTGTTAAATGAATAATAAACAGTGAGAAAGTTTTTTGTAGAGATGACACAAAAAGATGAATTAAACAACTTGAAGAAAGGAATGAAAATAAAGAAAGGGAACATAAAAGACTATAAATTCAGATGCAATCTTAACAAATTGTTAAAATTAAAGAGATGTTCGATAGTCGACGAGTAGCGATTGACGTAAGTAATTCAGCAAAGAGTTTATGAACATGTTTATTTTTTTATCAAATCCATTTGAAGGCCGTGAATCAATGTCAAAGTCACAGGTTGAATTTAAGGAAGAACATGATAACGTATGTGGCCCTTATTACATAAGCAGAGATTAAAAAGATTATACAAATTAACCCAGAGATACTTGCAGCTAGCGAAGTAGACGAGAAAAGGAAATAGAATATCAAAATAAATAATAATAGAAATTCGATCATTTATATAATCTCTTGATCCTCCCCTTACGTGTTCGTCGGCTAGGAGGCTCTTCAGCCTCCGCAACTCAATTCCGACGTCTTAGCCCGATCGGCAACATCTACAGTTTGACGGTTGATTTGTGCCGATGGTCTAGGGACAGGGCCGGTGGGCCAGTGGTGCGTTGGCGTTGGGTGGCGATGGTCGTCTCTAAGTCGCGCGAGTCGTCGCCTTCGACGGTCATCATTCGACGTTTGTCCAACTTCTGTCCTTCGTGGTTTCGTCATTCCAAAGCATCGGGTTCCCGTTTCCAAGTCGAGCAGCGGAGCAGACAACGTAGGTTTCAAGTTGGGAGAGGTCAGGACAGTAGGATTTGGCTAGAGTACTAGTACTAGTTTTTTTAGGATAAAATTTAATCTTTTGTCAAAAAAAAATGTTGAACGCCACTTTCTTTTAGGATTGATTTCAGTTTTTTAGCTACACATATACCTATGGAAGTTACGGTTTTAATAATAATTGTTGGAATATTTTAGCACTATACCAACAGGTATAATTTTGGGGTAGGAATTGTATATCATTTACCAACAAAGTTAGGATAATGTCGATATTGACATTATAATAAGCAACGAGCTAGATTGATCGTAGGTATAAGTGGTCTATATCAATAATAATCGCCTGTTGGTATAAATTACCGCTGGTAATTGGCAATTTGTTTGTAGTGGACTAATAGTTACTATAATGTAATGTCATGGTA